TGGCTTGCTGGCTTGGGAAGTTTAGATTCAGTCTGGCGAGATTCTGTCTTGTGGGTGAAAGCTAATAAAAGCTATCGAACTAGACCTGTATTGTCTCGTGGAGTTCTTTGGGCTGAACCTGACATCAATCCTGCCAGACTCATACTACCATCGAGAGGCGGGAATTGGAATCATGGCGATGGATCCCCAGGGGGCAAATTTGGCACCACAATTGTTGGCGGCAGCCCTGCTACAACATCAACAGCAAGTGGATGCGCAAATTAATAATCTACAAGAAGCTGTGGGGCAGTTAATACAACAGCTCGCACTGGGAGACCAGCAACCACCTCCCCCGTATTGCTACGTTCACCTGGTAGCATGCCTGAGAAGTATGGAGGTGAGGTGGAGCAGATGAGAACCCTCCTGGCACAATGCGAGTTCTTCACGAATGGCAGACCGGGAGGGTTTCCTACGGACCGAACAAGAGTGGCTTTTGTGATGAGTTTATTGAAGGTGATCCAGTGCTCAACAACTACCAAAATTTCATTGCTGACTTCAGGGGTCTAAGGCAATGCTTATCTCCCCGAGTGCGGCCTTCATCGAAGCATTCCATCACAGTTTGGCACGGTGGCAGTGAGGGAAAATGCTCCTTTGATCTAAAGATGAGTGCGAGTGTAGACCTTGGGGTAGATGCAGGAGAAGGGAGAGAGAACAACCAACCAGTTTTTGTTGCAATCAAGTCCTTTTTTTGCAAATGCTGCTTGCTGCCACCTTTCTTCTGTGGTCCTCTTTTCATGATGGGCATAGGTTCAAACCCTCATTCCTTCCTTCTGCCCACTTGGTCAGGTTTTTATAACAACAACCCAGTTCTTGCCTGCCTATGAGGACCTTGGATAGACTCAGCCCTCTGGGGTGTTCTCATGTCTTGATGCTTTGCCAGTTCTCTAGCAAATTTCATAACTGCATCAAGAGCGAACCCAAGCAGTCCATTGAATTAATTTTTTCTAGTCACTTTCACAGGGCTCAGAGAAAATACTACAATGTGGGTTTTCCTGCTCTTTTAAGCAGTATGTCCTTCCTCTCCCTGGTGACATCCTGCAAGTAAAAACTAATATTTGAGACATTGTATTTGGCAGCGCTCAAAAGAGGTGATTGCCCAAAAGATCTGTCATAAAAGCAGTCAGGGAAAAATGGATTTCCGAGGGAAAATATTGTCAGGAGAACATTTGGAGCATATGTTGTGCATTCTGTGAGGGAGACAGTCAACCCCCGATGGAATGTAATGTTTGTGAAAATCTGTCCTAAGTTCTCATAAAGTCTACCACATGAAAAGGAAATACGGCATACATGTTTTGGAGTAAATAATCAGAAACATGATTTGGTGATCTGTTGCAAAAATCACCCTTGAAAATAGTATTTGTTCACCTGAACAAATTTCACTCTTCTCCTTTGCTTGTATTGTATGTTTCCATTACATGGAGCAAGAAATGCTGAACAGATTCTCACATTTGGAACCTGCTCTTTCTCCTTAAAGGTTGCTTTGGGTTTAATTGAGCAAATACTTGGTATTGGGGCCCATCACAGTTGACCATTAAGACCCATCTTCCCCAACTTTGTCCTTCCACAACTGTTAGGTCTGGTACTCTAGAATTCCTAAACATAAGTATATCTGATTTAGACAGGTGTGTTTTTCTAGAACGTTTATTTCTGAATCCCTCTGGCTCTTCCTGTTTTATTGAGTTGTGCCTACAATTGTCTCTTTGCAGCTTCTAAAGAACATCTGTTCATCTTGGGTCATGGTTCTTTCTTTCTTTTGCCAATTAAGTCTTTGAACTCAGCTGATCCATAGCTACGAGGGATTCAGAGCACAGCAAGGTGAGATGGTTGAAATTCAAGTTTCTTGAATTGACTTTTTTTAGTTGAACAAAGTCTGTCTGGTTTTATATAGGGGTTCCTGTAGAAAATTAAGGAACACTGACTTCTTCCTTGATGTGTGACCAAGTAAAAGAATTAAATTTTGGTCCTACTGTTTAAGCATAATATGAATACTAAGCAAGCAATGTTAAAGTAACTAGGGACATAAATTTAACTTGGCATTGTTGAAGGACTAGTCTCTTAGCAGTCAATAAGGTGTGGAGAATCCATTTCCATTGCCCAGATGTCAATTTCCATGTAATAAGCATGTGGCTCCAAAGAATATGGATGTCCAAAAATATTAAACTTTGTCTCAAAGTCAAATTTCAGAGCTTGACTCTGGATGACTCTGGATCAGTATTGCCCCCTTGGGAGCAATATGGAAATGGTTTGCCATTGCATTCCTGTGGGCTGCTGCTTTTCAATTTCTTAGGGGAGCTTACAGTTCTAGGACTTCTGGTTGGCTTCCCATCCTAATACCAGCCAAGTCCATCCTTGCTTAGATTTAGCTTTTCAAAATCAGCCAAGTTCAATCTGGTTCAGCCACCAGCTGAAGCCAATAATCATAGGAGTCTCCTAGAATTAATTTAATTCTAATTCACCGTAAATGGAAGTAAAAGTTTAAATTTAATTAACTTTAAATGCATTTTAAATCAAATTTAGGTTTTGTCCTCTCATTGCCTACTTTGTTGCTTCCATGCATTTCATTTCATTTCATTTCATTTCATTTCATTTCATTTCATTTCATTTCATTTCATTTCATTTCATTTCATTATTTCTTTATTTATAATCGTTTCTGGCATATCATTCATGGCCCATGTTCCAGAGAGCTGGCATAGTTACATAACTTCTGTTCCAACTCCCATTTGTTACTCAATGGTGTAAAAGTGGTAGTGGCTTCCTTTGGGCCTGTAGGCACAGGTGACCCTGGCCTGCCTTCGCTGGGCCTTCAGCAAAAGTATTGAAGGATGCTTGATATCAGGAGTCAAAATAGGGACAAAGTAATAGCAGAGATTTCAACCTCCCAGGACACTCAGCAGTAGACGTCAAAGTAGTAATTTTAGAAGAACGAAACTTTAAAAGAATTGAATGAGAGAGTGTTAAATACATCACAAGGTTTCAGGCCATCTCAAAAGGTCTCAATAACTATCATACCTATCTACCTTCATTACAGTCACTGACCAGAATACAACAACCAACAGAGGCTGGAACGAAATAAAACAGTTCATGACTAGATCATTGATGTGATCAAAGTATATCTGGTTTTACAAACAGTGTAACGAAATTTGGCTGTGTTCATAGAAATGGAATCATACTGGTCAGATAATGACATAGAATAAATTGGAATTGCCTGGGTACTTTGATAAATGAGGAGTGATAAGATGGCCTTTGCAGGACATGAATGATGGTTTCAATAGACCCTTCTTAGCTCATATGAAGTTTTTTTAGTATCTCCCTTCAAGAACTGTTGTTGGGAGTGCATTAAAGCATGCTAAGGTTAACATCGTCCAGAGTTTAGGGACAGTTATATGGTGTAGAGATCTTGCTAGCTTAAAGAAAGGAGCCTGACTGCTCAAGAAAAGGTTGCTGGAGAGGACAGGTGGATCCAGGTGGGCTTCCAGATCCAGGCACATTGCGGGTCTGAACAACGACAATAGTGGATTCACAATTGCTGGTTGATAAGATACTTGTAATTTGTCTCACATGTACCTTTCATCTGCATATCCACTCTGTCTTCCCCCCACTTCATCTCAACATCAGTTTAGCCACTCCATGCATCTGATGAAGAGAGCTATAGCTCAGAAAAGCTGATGCCTTTTAATGAAGGTTGTTATTCTGAAAAGAGGCCACCTGAATCCTTTTGATTTATGTCGCATCTTAAGCATCAAGACCTATAAGTGTTCTAGAGGGTTGTGTATCCTAGGTAGTATCTGTGGTTTTCTCACCTGATCTCAGAGATGTCCACAGGGTACCGTTAAAAAAAGCCAAAATGGCAGCCACAATGATGGGATCAAAGCTTCCCTTTGTTTTTGTGTGTGATGCACATAAAAATCAAGTGAAGCTTTGATCTCACCATTGTGGCTGCCATTTTGACTCTTTTGATGGTACCCTGTGGACATCCCTGCCTGATCTCCTGGAGGAAAACACTCTTTTACGAGGAGCCCACCCTCAGAAATTCCATCCATGCCAAAATGGAACAAATTAAAAACTGTATGATAAAATGGATGTAGAATTTGAGTAATTACAGTAGACCAGTGTTTCTCAACCTGGCTGGGGACTTCTTGGAGTTGAAGTCCACACATCTTAAAGTTGCTAAGATTGAGAACACTACAGTGGACCAATAAGAAGGGCTATGGAAAAGATCAATGGAATTTATTTTTAGCTACAGTCTAAGGGAAAATTGATACAAAATCCTTCACAGATGGTATATAACTCCATCTATGATTGATAAGATAGATCAAGCATATAGCAACATCTTACCATATGTGGTGGTCATGCAAAAAAATTCAAAAGTATTGGAAAGAAATACGTTAAAAAATTCTAAAGATAAAATGTCAAGTGAAACCACAAACATTTCTATTAGGCATAATTCCAGAAAACATAAATGAAAATATTATAATTTACTAAGATACAAGTTGACTGCAAATAAATAAATAAACCTAGCACCACATCGGAAAATAGATACTTTGCCTACAACATCAGACTGTAAGACTAAAATTGGAGAATATCCTGCAATGGCAAAATTAACACTATATATCCACAACTGAACTTTAACTAAATTCAGGCAGGAATGGCCCCCTTATATACAACATATCACAGAGCAAGACAGATTTAGACATCTGGAATATGGTTTTTAGGACTTAAATAGAAACTAACAACAATAACTAATGTTTGATGCAAAGTTCAAATATCTAAAAGGATGCATCACTACAAAGTAATTTACTTTTTCTTTTTTTCACTTTTTAAAACGTCGATGTAGCAGTCTTTTTGTTTTATCTTGCTTTTTTCCTGCTTTCTTTGTATTCCAATATTTGTTTTTTTCCACTTCCTTTGTATTTCAATAATTTAACAATAAAACATGTGGATTATTAAAAAAACAAGAGAGACTCTTACCCAGGGAACAAGACGAGCAAGCAATTGTAAAGCACAGAGCCAAAAGCAGTGATCTCTAAGCACTTTGAGCCTTAGTTAAATAAAAACTTCCTAAACTTTAACTTCTCTCTTAATAAGATGCGAACGTGCAGCTGACTGATTGTTGGTCATGTAATAGCCAAGATATGTAGCTAGTAACATGCAACCACTATTAAAATGAAGCTGTTTGCTTCAGGAAAAAGATGGAAGCTTTTTATTTTATTTTAAAAACGGAGTGTGGAACTCCCTAAAAATCATTAGTGTTGAGAATCAGTAGCTTCTATGAATGGTTGATTCCTGGAGTAAAGAGGATTAAATATTTGCAAATATGAGCTGGAAGAGTTGGGTCATGGATCCTTCTCTTTCCTTAAGTATGAGTATAATTGAAGAGGAATGAATTCCTTTTTTGTGATTTTTTTTCCGCATCCTTTCAGATGCTAAAAGAGGCATGAACTTAAAATGTAACTGGCTGATTTAGTAGGAAACAGTGGCCTGTTTGTCCCATGTTTTTTTTTCTTTATTCAGATACAGCAAAGATGGTCTTCCTTCTCTTGGGGTGGAATCGCAGAGTCTTTGTACTCTCTCTCCTTCTGAAAACAACCATCTCCTTAAATCCAGATGACCCAAACGTTTGCAGCCACTGGGAAAGGTAACACATATTGCCTTTATTTTGTCTTGTTTACGATAGGTGTGCATCATCTTTATATTTAAAAATACATCCGTGGCCCTTCTCAATGTAGCTTTAGAACTTAAAACATAACATTACAAAATGGAATCAAATGCAACCCTATGGCCACTGAAGGAATCTCAGTCGCTCTCTTCTTGATTTTTTGAAGACCTGGCTCCCTGGAGCGCACAGGTAGATAGATCTTGCATTTTAAAGGTATTCATGTTCTGATTACAGTTTCGGTATTTAAAAGACGTACCCCTGAAACGTTTCTCACCCCCCCCCGATATGTGAGCCCCAATTCCCCAGCTGGCTCCTTGTATGAGTCTCTGGCCTGGATTTGCTGTTTGATTTATTAGATTTATATCCTAGCTTTCCTCAAAAGTCCAAAGCAATGTACATGTCATATACAGTGTGCTTGGAGGCTGTGAAGGACTGGATGGGGTGAAAGGGGCTAATGCTGAATCCCAGCAAGATGTCCGTACAGAAGCCCTCTGTTGCTCTGGAGGGAACAGCGCTGCCCTGGAAAGAAGGGGTGCACAATTTAGGGGTCTCCTGGACCCATTACACCTGATGGAATAGCAGGTAGAAGCTGTGGATAGAGCGCCTTTGGCCAGCTTAAAAGGT